TGCACATTTACCCCAGGCGCCCAGAGTCTCAGAGTCTATCAGCACGAACCTGTAACAACGTTCTAGGTCTCTGTACTTGTTGATTTTCTGGGTCTTCCTGAAGGTAGCCGCCCCGCCTCCCTCAGCTGTGCTGTAAGGTAGATAGGCATCAGTCAATGTAGACGCGCATGTGTAGTCCCATACGACCTGTTTACCTTCCCTCCACGGCTGCACGGTGACTCCATCTGGGCGTTTGTGACTGTTGTCAGGTCTGCACAACTGAGGTTCCCTTTGTGCTGGACACCCAGCTGAAGCCAAACTTCTCTTGATGATGTAATTGACTGATTCATGTCTGGCAATCTTTCCCTGTGTCTTACGACAGATGAGACCATGGCTGCCGTATTGGTCTGCCCGAGCATGGCCGCAAATACACCGGTGCTCGGTGGAGATAGGGGCGGCAAGGCGCAGGGCAACACCAATACTTAGGGCCCGATGGTCCAGGCGGGTGCCCAAGGCAGAGTTAGGGACTGCCAACAGGAAGTCCCCAGCATGGGGGGCTTGCACAGCTAGGGGATGCGCTCTGTTCTTCTCAGAAGCTGCTTCCAGCAATGCTGTGGCGATGTTCTCCACTATGGGGAGAGTATATATTTATATAATATATATATATTATAATATATATATATATATATATATATAATATATATATATATATATATATATATATATATATATATATATATATATATATATATATATATATATATATATATATATATATATATATATATATATATATGCAGAATAACCACATGTGAAAAATAGAAAAAGCTTAACGCGTTTTCGGCTAATTCGCCTTCATCAGAGCAAAGTAGAATCAAAGTAGATTCTACTTTGCTCTGATGAAGGCGAATTAGCCGAAAACGCGTTAAGCTTTTTCTATTTTTCACGTGTGGTTATTCTGCATACTTGGATCAGTGTTTTTGTGATCATTGTTGCATATATATATATATATATATATATATATATATATATATATATATATATATATATATATATATATATATATATATATATATATATATATATATACATACCTGATGAGATGAGCCTGTTGGTCGCCCAGATGGTGAACCCCTGGAAGAATGGTAGACAGTTGGTGTGGGACTACACTTGCGTTTCAACTTTAGCCAATACCTATGTTGACTTCAGTGCTACACAAGCAGGAGGAGCTGCCAATCACCGGGAAGCGGCCAAGTCACGTAAATACAGAGACCTTGAGCACCACTACAATTTTGTCCCCATTGCCTCAGAGACACTTGGTGCCTGGGGTAAAAGTGCTGCTAACTTTTTGAAGGAGTTGGGGTCTAAGCTAATCGAAACAACTAGAGACCCTAGAGCTGCCAGTTTTCTTTTTCAGCGCCTTAGTGTGGCAATCCAGAGAGGAAATGCTCACTGCATCCATGGTTCCTGCCCGCCATCTGAGGAGCTGGAGGAGCTGTTCAACTTGTGACAAGCAGCCTTGTACCCTGCATGTAATCAATATTGTAACTTTTTTTTGTGTAATGACATTTTCAAATAAAGTTAGATAAATATACACACATACCAAAAGAATAGGGGTGGTAGGAGAAGAAAATATCAAGGTGTTCAGTGAGGATCCACAAGGTCTTCTCTGAGTACTCTTTATTTTCTTCTCCGAGGCTATGGGTCCCTACACTTGCACCAGAGGTGGTACCCCTTCTAGGTTTAAAAATATATATATATAGTAGTCTTTCTTGTAAACATATGTTGTTAAATATGACCGAAAAAGTAAGATTAATAATTCTAACACAAATTTTCTCAATATTTCTTATGTTTCTTTTTACTGTCGATGGTAATTGAAAAATTAATTCTCCAAAATTCATTTTTATTTCTAGTCTGACGCGACGCTTGAACGCGTTCTGTAATAAATTATTACATTTTCAAAGACTTTAGTTTACACACACACAACTGTAACCTGAAAACACTAAACAGAGTTTTACATATTCTAAACACTTAAATAGCTTGTCTTATATACTCGCATTTGGGTGAAGTGATATGTTGCAACAGTTTTGGATGAGGTGAACAAACTTGACCAACACAAGACAGAACACGGAACATTGGGTATTAATTGGATAAATGAGAGGGAAGAATGGAAGTAACTGCAAAGGACCTATTGGCCCATACTTCCTCTTGATGCTTCTATATTGGTACGGAGTCTTGAAGTAGGTAGAATATAGTTGTGCATTAATTGGCTGTTGATTGCTGGTGTTGACTTTTCGGCTTGACATCTGCGAGTCACTACACATCAAAAAATCAACACCAGCACTATAGATTATGAGAATATCTCTGTATATTCTCTGGTCTTCTTTGCATCTTATCTGTTTTATCCCATATTTTTCACTCTTATAACATTAACCAGAAAAGTCCCATCAACCAGATAAAACCCATACCAAGATAACACCCATATCAACCAGATAACACCCATCAACCAGGTGCAAAAAAACACCCTTCAACCCCCTCAATGGGGAGTCGAGGTGGGCGTAACCTCGTCAACTCTGCTGAACGAGGAAGAAAAAGAACAGGTGAATATAAATCTCCCGATCGGACGTTTTCCGGTCGAGCGAAGACGTATACAACGCTGCCCGTGTTCGGTTTCTCTGCTGGCGGCTTCGGCATCTGATGTTATCGGTGTGCTTCCTTCCTTCCTCTTCTCTTTGTCACGCTTGGGATTGGAATGGATTAGAGAACTCACACACACATATACGTACAGTTGAGAGGCGGGGTCAAAGAGTCAAAGCTCAACCCCCGCAAGCACAAATAGGTGAGCACGTAAGAGAATGGCTTCTCGCATATATACATATATTTTTTTGTTAAAGGGGTTTAACACAATGCGTGGGATTAAGGTGTTGTGCTTGGTGTCAAACGGTGTGAGTGATTGGTCTGTTTATCTCTGACGTCATCGCCTCAGAACAAAACGCGCGTACGCGCTCGCACACACACACCACACACACACACACACACACACACACACACACACACACACACACACACACACACACACACACACACACACACACACACACACACACACACACACACACACACACACACACACACACACACACACACACACACACACACACACACACACACGCGCACACACATACACGCACACACACACACACACCACACACACACACACACACACACACCACACACACACACACACACACACACACACACACACACACACACACACACACACACACACCCACACACACCACACACACACACACACACACACACACACACACACACACACGCACACACATCGAATAATGTAATTCGCCCGGCTGTTCTATCAAGTTCACGTGGGTGTAGGTGACGTTAGATGGGTGGTGGTGGTTGGGGGGGGGGGGGTATGGAGTTTGTGTATAACTGTATGGAGTCAGCCTCCACCACATCTCTGCCTAATGCATTCCATTTCCTAGCCACTCTGACACTGAAAATCTTCTTTCTAATGTCCCTGTGGCTCATGTGGGTACTAAGCAAGTTTCCAGCTGTGTCCCCTTGTTCGTGTCCCGCCCGTGCTTAAGAGTTTGTATTTGTCTACAATGTCAATTCCCCTGAGATTTTTTTAGGTGGATATCATGTCTTCCCTTTCTCTTCTATTTTCCAGGAATGTGGGGTTCATCCCTTAGCCTTTCCTCGTAGCTCATACCTCTCAGTTCTGGGACGAATCTGGTGGCATACCGCTGAATCTTCTCTTTGTCTTGTGTTTAACTAAGCATGGACTACAAGCGGAGCTGCATATTCCATGATTGGTCTGACATAGGTAGTATGCAGGGTCCTGAACGATTCTTTACACAAGTTCGAAAAGCAGTTCTTATGTTGGCCAGTCTAGCACATGCCACTGATGATTTTCTTTTTATGTGGGCCTCTGAGGACAGGTTCTGTGTGATATCAACCCCAGACCTTTCTCTCTATTTGACTCTTGCAGGATTTCACCTCCCAGATGGTACCATGTGTTCAGCCTTCTGCTCCCTCCGCCTAATTTCATTACTTTGCACTTTCCTGAGTTGAACTTTAGTAACTATTTTCTAGACCATTCCTCCAGCTTGTCCAAGTCGTCCTTGTAGTTTCTGTCAATCTTCTTCTGTCTTGATTCTTCTCATAATTTTTGCATCATCAGCAAACATTGAGAGGAATGAGTCTATGCAGCTAAATGGAGTTGGTCTGCAGCCCGTCCTCCAAGCTAAGACCCAAAAGTGACTCCATGCACCCGCCGAACCTTCTGTTTATGAATGAAAAACGATTTACACACGACTCACAACTGCAAAACAAGTGCTTCACTGACGAATTTTGTTCGAACCACAACGCTATAAATGCTTCACCCACGTACTACAAATACAAATAATCGCCAACAGAACCTAACACCTAATCTAACCTATGCCTATACATGCATAATATGCTAATATATTATAATATTAATGTATATTTTAGAAAATTCCCTTTTTGAATGAGCAGCATGTAAAATTTATGACTGCGTCTGTGTGGTCGACCGCTGGATGTAATGGACTTGAGTCGAGGATGGCTTACAATACTTAACTGTTCGCCTCTGTTCACCCATCAGTAATTGCATTCCTGGTTTGTTAAACGATTGGTGCGTCGAGTTGCAGGGAAACCCGAGGGTAAGGCTTATCAGCTGGTGTCTGTTCCTGTACCCACATATGCAAACAAAAATGTGAACGCATGCAGGTCAACATTTACGTCTTGCTATATGAAATATGTGTTTAAAATACATTTGTTTATATAAAACAAACACAATTTAGTACAAATAAAGACAGGAAAACAATTTACAAATATAGAACATTGAAACAGACAGGAATTTGAAAAACACATAACACACATAACCCAAAATCTTGTACAGCATACAGAACAGAAACCCAAAAGGAAAGAAAACAATAAGTACAGAAAGAAGCAATGAACAAGTTAACACATACTGCAGCTGCAAGGTGTTGAGCATCTACTGCAGCTGCAAGGTGTTGAGCATCTACTGCAGCTGCAAGGTGTTGAGCATCTACTGCAGCTGCAAGGTGTTGAGCATCTACTGCAGCTGCAAGGTGTTGAGCATCTACTGCAGCTGCAAGGTGTTGAGCATATACTGCAGCTGCAAGGTGTTGAGCATCTACTGCAGCTGCAAGGTGTTGAGCATCTACTGCAGCTGCAAGGTGTTGAGCATCTACTGCAGCTGCAAGGTGTTGAGCATCTACTGCAGCTGCAAGGTGTTGAGCATCTACTGCAGCTGCAAGGTGTTGAGCATCTACTGCAGCTGCAAGATGCTGAGCATCTACTGCAGCTGCAAGGTGTTGACCATCTACTGCAGCTGCAAGGTGTTGAGCATCTACTGCAGCTGCAAGGTGTTGAGCATCTACTGCAGCTGCAAGGTGTTGAGCATATACTGCAGCTGCAAGGTGTTGAGCATCTACTGCAGCTGCAAGGTGTTGACCATCTACTGCAGCTGCAAGATGCTGAGCATCTACTGCAGCTGCAAGGTGTTGACCATCTACTGCAGCTGCAAGGTGTTGAGCATCTACTGCAGCTGCAAGGTGTTGACCATCTACTGCAGCTGCAAGGTGTTGACCATCTACTGCAGCTGCAAGGTGTTGAGCATCTACTGCAGCTGCAAGATGCTGAGCATCTACTGCAGCTGCAAGGTGTTGACCATCTACTGCAGCTGCAAGGTGTTGAGCATCTACTGCAGCTGCAAGATGCTGAGCATCTACTGCAGCTGCAAGGTGTTGACCATCTACTGCAGCTGCAAGGTGTTGAGCATCTACTGCAGCTGCAAGATGCTGAGCATCTACTGCAGCTGCAAGGTGTTGACCATCTACTGCAGCTGCAAGGTGTTGAGCATCTACTGCAGCTGCAAGGTGTTGAGCATCTACTGCAGCTGCAAGGTGTTGACCATCTACTGCAGCTGCAAGATGTTGAGCATCTACTGCAGCTGCAAGGTGTTGACCATCTACTGCAGCTGCAAGGTGCTGAGCATCTACTGCAGCTGCAAGGTGTTGAGCATCTACTGCAGCTGCAAGATGCTGAGCATCTCAACGAGAGGAGATATTTTCATCCGTCTCTACGCCTTGTATATTAATCTACGAGTTATATGTCAGCTCATTCACGTCTCGTCTCATGATAGGACAGTAAATTTGGGGGCCTTCGTGAGATAGTCATCAGTTGTGTTTTTTATTGGGCAACAGTAACTTGCCAGCGTCTTCTATAAGACATAATGGCTATGAGACTTTCATAAGTGAGTATTAACATTCTCTTTTATGTATCCTGTCAAATTAAGCTTGCAGCCGTCTGTGTAGGTCCATGCCAGGCTCTCGAGTTATCATCAGCATGTCGTCTAGAAAAATGTTTCACAGTAGTGACCCGATCACACTACCCTGAGGGGTACCTTACCCAATGGTTCACTACCTTGGGGGTACCTTACCCAGGGGGTACATTACCCTGGGGGTACCTTACCCTGGGGTTCAGAACCCCCTGAGGTACACTTCCCTGGAGTACACTTGCTTGTATTGTGTGATCGTGGGAGGAGTGATGACAGCCTTGGATGTTTGGGTTAATGACATATATTTTATTGCAAGATGAAAACTTCCATTAACTCGCTTTCAGACCTTCTTGTTATATCCAATCACATAATTATGGTGAAGGTGGTTTTCTAATCTGTATACAAAGAAGTTTGGACAAATATCTTCCAAACCTCTACGAGCAAAAATATGAGTCAATAATTGTCTACTTTATAATAGTATTTTTTTGTGGACAGTTATGACCCCGGCAGTGTTGCAGGTAAGGAGCGAAGCCTGTTGATCAATGCAGCAGATCTTCCAGTGGATGTGCACACACCTTTTAAGTAAGTAGGAGGAGCTAATATGTGTATCGAGAAGGATTTGGATATACTTTTTTATTTCGTGATGCAGTAGAAAGAAAAAGTTTTCTTCTTTGATAGAAAGAACAAGTTTTCTCCTATTGGGCAGTAGACAAAAGAAGTTTTCTTATACGCTGTTGAAGACAGAAGAAGTTTTCTTCTGTGATGCAGAAGAACAGACAAGAAGTTTACTATGCCCCTCAGCACTTGTTGTCTACAGAACCATCACATCTCAAGTAACGTCCCAGAGTCTCCAGACGGTCCTATAGGTAACTCGTGTATTAGGTTACACCACTAGGTTACAAGGGACCTAACAGCTGAGTGGACAGCGCTTCGTATTCCTAGTCCTGAGGTTCCAGGTTCCATCCCCGTAGAGGCGGAAACACATGGGCAGAGTTTCTTTCACCCTGATGCCCCTGTTACCTAGCAGTAAATAGGTACCTATTAGTTAGACAGCTGCTACGGGCTGCTTCCTTGGGGTGTGTAACAAAAAAGGAGGCCTGGTCGAGGACCGGGCCGCAGAGACGCTAAGCCCCGAAATCATCTCAAGAAGATCTCAAGATTTTTTTTGTCAGGTTACAGCACATTACCTGGTTTTTATCACATGAGGCCAGAAGACATGGCAGGATGTGCAGAATATCCCCGTTGAAAAGCAGAGGTGCAACAGGTACTCTGAGAGAGAACTATCAACATCAGAGGCCCGAGACTGTTCAACACGCTTCCACTACACATAAGGTGCATAACTGGCCGACTCCTCACAGTGTTCAAGAGAGAACTATCAACATCAGAGGCCCGAGACTGTTCAACACGCTTCCACTACACATAAGGGGCATAACTGACCGACCCCTCACAGTGTTCAAGAGAGAACTATCAACATCAGAGGCCCGAGACTGTTCAACACGCTTCTACTACACATAAGGGGCATAACTGGCCGACTCCTCACAGTGTTCAAGAGAGAACTATCAACATCAGAGGCCCGAGACTGTTCAACACGCTTCCACTACACATAAGGGGCATAACTGGCCGACTCCTCACAGTGTTCAAGAGAGAACTATCAACATCAGAGGCCCGAGACTGTTCAACACGCTTCCTCTACACATAAGGGGCATAACTGACCGACCCCTCACAGTGTTCAAGAGAGAACTATCAACATCAGAGGTCCGAGACTGTTCAACACGCTTCCAATACACATAAGGGGCATAACTGGCCGACTCCTCACAGTGTTCAAGAGAGAACTATCAACATCAGAGGCCCGAGACTGTTCAACACGCTTCCACTACACATAAGGGGCATAACTGGCCGACTCCTCACAGTGTTCAAGAGAGAACTATCAACATCAGAGGCCCGAGACTGTTCAACACGCTTCCACTACACATAAGGGACATAACTGGCCGACCCCTCACAGTGTTCAAGAGAGAACTGGATAAGCACCTCCAAAGGATACCTGATCAACCAGGCTGTGACTCATACGTCAGGCTGCGAGCAGCTGAGTCCAACAGCCTGCTTGACCAGTCTCATGTTAGTGCTCTCGTTTCATTAGTGTAATTATTTTTGGTTACTGGTAATACTGATGCTGTCGTTGACAGTATTACAAAGGCATCACCTTCGTGGTACCTCCTCTTGATAATAATAATAATAATAATAATTATTATTATTATTATTATTATTATTATTATTATTATTATTATTATTGTTATTATTATTATTATTATTATTATTATTATTATTATTATTATTATTATTATTATTGTTATTATTATTATTATTATTATTATTATTATTATTATTATTATTATTATTATTATTATTATTATTATTATTATTATTATTATTATTATTATTATTATTATTCCTTATTGTTACTATACAGTAATTATTTGTGCTACTTTTTTATTCAATTTCAAGCCTCAAGTCGACAATGTTCAAAGCTTGTCACGGGCTCCGAGGACCTTAAGAGCAAATGAAGATATTGTTTAAAGCTTTAGGTAAGACGCTAATATATTCATTCAGATGAAAAAAAATTATCTTTTAGTTTAGGGCGAAATTAGGGCGAACATTCAGTTTTCTGTGTACGACGCAGGAGTATCGTTTTCCCGTGCGCCCAGAGGAGATTGTGGCCCGCTGGGGTGGTGGGGGTTGACCTGTAGGTGGTAGGGTTGCCTGGAGTAGGCCAGAGGGGTTCTCCTGAGGGTTGAGAGGTGGGAGAAGTGCTTGGGGTAGGCCAGAGAGGTTTTCCTGAGCGTTCAGAGGTGGGAGAAGTGCTGAGGGTAGGGCAGAGGGGTTCTCCTGAGGGTTGAGAGGTGGGACGGGAGCTTGGAGGGCGATGGCAGGCTAGATAGCGAGGTGTACACTAGCCGGGGGCGCTCGTCTTTGAATATATGATTCTACCTCCTCTAGCCCAAGTGATGTTTTTCTATTATACGCCGGTCATTATGGGAGGGAGGGGGTAGTGAAGAGAGAGAGAGAGAGAGAGAGAGAGAGAGAGAGAGAGAGAGAGAAGAGAGAGAGAGAGAGAGAGAGAGAGAGAGAGAGAGAGAGAGAGAGAGAGAGAGAGAGAGAGAGAGAGAGAAGAGAGAGAGAGAGAGAGAGAGAGAGAGAGAGAGAGAGAGAGAGAGAGAGAGAGAGAGAGAGAGAGAGAGAGAGAGAGAGAGAGAGAGAGAGAGAGAGAGAGAGAGATCAGAGAGAGAGAGAGAGAGAGAGAGCAATGATAAAGCTTCCTATTAACACCACCTCAAATAACTGTACCCTGTAATATCTGACTTTACATAAATATTTGATCTCAAAGTAGAAGAAGTACCAGACTGTGTCCGGGGTCTCTCTCCCACCACCATCTCTCATTCCATCTCACCAATCTGTTCTAATCTCCCCCCTTACACCCCCCCCTCGCATTACTCTTCTAATATCCACCCCTCTCACCTCAAACCTTCTCTCATCGTCTTCATCCTTTCTTCCCACCCTTCATTCCCTTCCCTTAATAACCCCTCCCTCCTCCTCCTGTCACCCCCTCCCCTCCAGCTCTTCTCTCTCTTCTCTCTCCCTTTCCTCTCTCTCTCTCTCCCAATCACCCTCTTGTCCCCCGCTCTTATCTCTCCTTCCCTCTCCACTTGCTTGAGGAGAATCTCAGGAAAGAGGAAGGTCCGTCTCAAGAACAGATACTTAATCAGTTACGTGGAAGAGATCAATAAAAGGACGGTGGACTGCCACTGAACGCCCGATGTCAACAATACATAACCTGTCCCTCGTATAACACTCATCATCTACAAGAACTTCTTTCCAGCAACTCACAAAACGGAGGGAAGATAAGTCCTTAAAGATATAACCTGAGTTCCCCCCCCCCCCTGGCAACAGTAATCTTAGGAAATAGATCTCACATAAGATTTAGGAGTAAGAAGTCCACCATCTTGCTTATGAACAGCTCTTCGAACATCAAAAGAAACACCTTGAATGACACAAATCGTCCAACTTTTAAGGATGATACATGGGTGGTTAGATGCTCTCATAGGCTTTCAGAGTTGGCTTCATTGCCTTCCCTTTAAGAAGGATAACCTTCTATTGCAACTATGAAGACTAAAATGGTAGGTTGCATAAAAGTAACATTGTAAAACTAACATGGTGATTATGTTGCGTGCTTGCCGGAATTGCACATTCCGAAAGACAGAACGTTGGGATGTAGAGTGAAAGGTAATGAAGGGTATGGACGGTGGTGAAGGTAGGAAGCCCTACAGTTCCAGTTGGACAGCAGATAAGTGTCTCTGGAATCCTTTCTCATTAAGGGATGCTGGTAGCTCAGTAGGCAGATTGCGAACTGCTGTTTATGTGGTCTGCAGTTCAAGGCTCCGATTGTCTGGGTGAATTAATGTTATTATCTACAATATGGTAGTTAGCAATTTATTTGACGAGGATGTGAATCACCTAACATCGTCATGACAAAGTGGCACCCCAAGGAAGTTCCAGTTAGACGGCAGATAGGTATATCTCGAATCCTTCTTTATTTTATTATTATTATTATTAAGTTTGGCTTCAGCTGGGTGTCCAGCACAAAGGGAACCTCAGTTGTGCAGACCTGACAACAGCCAAAAACGCCCAGATGGAGTCACCCTGCAGCCGTGGAGGGAAGGTAAACAGGTCGTGTGGGACTACACGTGTGCATCTACATT